TAGTTTCGATCCGGGAGAGAGCGGAGGCGAGTCGGCGATCGGCGTGCAGAGCGTTTTGGCTATGTCGTGTCTCGGACGGGCACGGGGAATACGCCGCCAGCGCGGTAGTCAGAGGGCTCGCCTCCGCCGACTCTAAATATCCAGGGAAGCAGCGCAGCCATATACCGCCCAGCCCTGCCGCCTTCCCGGAGCCGGAGCCTTACTTGCGTGGGGAACGCGCTCGGGAGGGCTGCGGGGCTCAGCAGTCGTCGTCCCCCTGTCTCGCGGAGCCTCGGGTCGGACGCCTTCGGTCTGGGAAGTTTCCTGTCCTACCTAAAACCAAACGGTCCCTGTCCCCGTCCTGTGCGACGTCCCACCTCCTGCGTCGCAGCTGCACATCGCTGTTCTAGGCGAGGGCTCCTGGAATTTTTTTTCACGCTTCTTGTCTCTGGGACAAATTTTTTCTACCTCGGAGAGATGAACAAAGATTATCTCCATCCCTTTAGCACAAAAAACAAAGATGATGCCTCATTTGTTTTACAGAAGCGACGCCCGGCCCCGTTCAAATCCATCGCGCGACAGTTTAGCAATAACCTGACGGTGAGGGGGAGCGGGGCAGCCTCCGGCCGTCGGCACCCAAGGGGACCCCGGGGATCTTCACCGGCGTGTCCGAAAGCGCTTCTCCAGCCGGCGGGGATCTTCTCGGGCACTTGAACGGGCTCGGGAAGCGTTTCGGTCGCCGCCTTAGGGAGACAAACCCGAACATGCCAAGAAAGGGTTCCCGACCTGAGAGCACACGGAGATGTACAGAAAACACGCGAGCTCTGAATAGTATTTATTCATTTTTCTATGTACTGGAGATAACATTCTTACGACTTTCTGCTTTTATAGATGTTCTGGAAACTTTGATACGTAGAGGTCTGCTAACGGAGATGTTTCTTTTCCCCTTGAGCCGGTCGAAGCTCTTTTCCACCCCCTCGGCAAACCTCTCGCTCGATCCCCGTTGGCGCCCGGCGAGGAGCCGCTCCGCTCTCCGAGGGCTTTTCTCAGCAGTGGGAGACAAAACGGGGCGTCCCCACACGCCCGCAGTCCGGACAAATCCCTTCAAGAAACACGGCTTCCAAAACACCGAAAGCCACCGAGGCGCTCCACAAAGTGCGAGTGAATGAACAATAGAAAACTCTGGTTGGTTGGTTTTGGTTTAGGGGTTTTTTTAACATCCTTAAGCTATTTTTGGACCATTTGAAACCTTTGAGAAGCGAGAGGATGGGAGACAGTGCTAGCGGGTTGCTAAAAATCTCCGAAGGCTCAGCTCTTTTTGTGCCTGCTAGGTTTTAAAAGAGAGAAAATCAAAACCACGAGGGATTTTTTTTTTTTTTAAAAGCAGATGGAATTTTCCAACACCTGGCAGATTTGCCCCGACCCACGGCTCGGACGCCCTTAGCGTCGGTACGCCCGAGTTCCGGCAGGCAGCCTTCGCCACGTGAGCTCAAAACCCCTACGCTTTCAAAAAGAGGAAAAAAAAAAACAAAAAAAAAGGCAAAAAGGTGAAAAGCAGGGAGAAAAAGGAAGTGGAATGTCAGCCCTCTGAGGCTGGTGGCTCCGGTAGGCATTTGCCGAGAGCCCTCCCTCGCCCTCTTCCAAAAACCGCCTCGGGAATCCCAACGGAGCCACGGATCTTGCTACCTTTGAGCGGGGAAGGGTGACGTCAGGCATCGGGAAAGCACCGTCGGGGTCCGGCGGGAGGTAGAAAATGGTTGATTTTTGGTTGTCGTTTAGCTAGACCGAGTCTGAAGGCTTCGACTCGATGTAAATTATTATTTTTTTTCAGTGTCGTGCCTTTTTGAGTTACTTCTGTTGGTGAAACGACGCGTGGGGGTTGCTTTTCCCCTTCCACCCCCCTCCTCTTTTTTCTTTCTGTCCCAAACTAATAATTACCGGACCTTTGCACTGTTGGGATGTGCTCCTCTCCAGCCTGAGGGCGAAGAGAAACGGGAACCCTCCAAAACGATGCACTAACCTGGGACGAGGCTGGAAATCCGGCAGTTGATTCCTGGC